GGTAACATAACCTAGAAGTTAACAATTCATTTGCGTTTTTTCTCAATTGAAGTAGAGCGAGTAATACAAAAGTTTACAATAAAAACATAAGGTCCGCCAAGATTTGGTATAATCTTAACTACTTAACTTATCATAGTCAAGGCATTAATATAGTTTGTACTAAATGTTTTGAAATATCTCGATCCGTCAGTGTCAGAAGTAAACATTTCTTGCATGCATTCATTTGATCTGACGTTAGGCAAGTTTACTTTACCACCATGACAACACTATGTGCTTCGAATATTTTTTCACTTCCAAAGTAAGTTGCATAGCAGAACTGGCAAATATTATTCATCTCATCAAGTGAATGTGTGTCTGGATGGGTATCTGTTAGACCAGACCTCTCTTTTTCTACTCTCCTCAAGATATCTTATTATTATTTGTCTCCTCCTCCCGTTTTCAATATTTCTTCTTTGAACTTGAGGCATTTTCTGTTCTACCAACAAAACTGATTAACTGTTTAACTTGGTCTTGACCTACTGAATATTACAAACATTAATATTTACTCCCAAAAAGCCAATGAGTTTCTTTTTATAAACAGCTGTTTTTTGTTTTTAAATTTGTTCTATGTATTTCTTATGGGAAAATCCCGACCTTTGAGAGGGTCTCACGCCCTTAAGAGTAGAAATTTTAAAATTCTAAAACCTTATTGCAAAACTACATATTGAGAGGAATCTTTTGACACCTTAAACGTTAAAATTGGTCTACAAATAAGGGAGGTGTTAAATATTTAGTAATTCAACTAAGGACATTTAATAAAATATTTATTTAATAACATATGAACTATATACAGTCAAATATAAACAATTAATCAAGTAGTATTAACATTCAAGTCAAGTTTTTAGTTCAGTTATTGAAAGGATACAACAGCTGATATGATGACATCACTGTCCAAAGTTCACTACAGCACTTCGTACTAGTCAGTTCAGTTTAGACTCACCTCTCTCACAGTACACAGTGCTTACCTTTTGGTTTAGTTCATATTAAATATTTTAATCTCTCTTTCTCTCTTACCGCTCCAAGTGCATTATTTCATCATTTCTCATTTAAATATGGATTCCAAATTTATAGTACCAAGTGTCAAGCTAGGATCCAAGAAGATATTTTTATTTAAAGTAGATGTGTTGTAAATTTTGTGTACAGTCCAGAATATTCATGAGTAGTGAATTGCTTTCTTTTTATTAATGAAGAAGAGTTTTAATTTAAATCAGTGAAGAATTACATACTACACAACAATAGTCATTTCTCAACATCATCTTTCATCTGTGGTCCTTCGATTCTCGTCACTCTGGCCAGAGCCATCGCTTCTCTGCTCATCTTGTTCCTGTTCTACCAAAACCCTAATGGATCTTCAGTTTTAGGATCTAAAGGTATTTCTCACAATTTTACCTCTTAATACCATAAATAACATGGTCCTTCGAGCCGGAAGTTTCCCAGCCTATGGAAAATAATCTACTGTGACTATTAAGTTTTGTATTTATTTGAACTGAATAAATTAATTGAATAAATCTGTCATCAACATTAAGTATCATTAACAAGAGGATTAAATATTTTTGATCACATTATTATCAATTTATTAAATTGTTGCAGTAATTTGTGAAATAACACATAAAGTTTTGTTGTCCCAGACAGAAAATTTTGTTCTCAGACTGTACTGTCTACAACTCCTGTATTTTCATGCATAGTTTGTCTATTCTCTATTGTGCATTATCGGGCTGCATCCTGTCTGCCCCCCTCTCTCCCCCCTGTAATGTGAAACAAGTTTCTCTCTTGTTGCTGAATATTCAGAAAATCATGGAAGTCATACCAACTTCACAGCTGATCAACACTAGCGCTGCTGATGGATAGAAATGAAAACTTAAATTAGTGCAGTAAAAATAAGATACAAATTCCATAAACCTAAAAAAAATTAGCACAACTGGGGAATTTGGTACAGATGTTGGGTGTATCTTCCTTTTGAACATACTAAAAGTCCCCTAAAATTGAAGCTGTGCTACGGCTGCCATATTGGAAAATGGCGGCATATTTCTGTATTTTTTGCTATAGTGACTTTATTATTAGAGATACAGGAAAAAGCTAAATATACAAAATGTAGGTCATCTAAAATTGCACATTTTTTGTATTTACCATCTTTCTCTAAACCCAACGGTTTTTTAGTTATTTGTTATTAAGTATATTTAGTTTTTCCATTTATCAAAAATAGGTGAAACATATGGAAATTGACCGTTACTTTCAAGGATTATGATAATTTATCCCATTTAGTTAAATAGTGTGATACTATAAAATCTTAAAATTTAAGCTTATTTTATGAGTAAAACAACTCTGCCACAGCAAACCTGCAGACTCAGCAAATTTCCATTTAATTGGATGTTTTATTAATTGTATTTAAATAAAATTAGATTCAAAAGGTACCTAGGTTTGCTGCTACAGGTAGGTTATTATAGTGTGTTTTTTTTTTTGTAAAATATCAATAACTTAGTATAAAATAATTAATTTTCCAAGTTTAATCATAATAAATCTATAAACAAACTAACTGCAACAGTTAACTAATTCAAAATAATAGCATGGTAGCTTAAGATTTACAATTTACAAATTTAAATATACAAATTTTGGTTGTGTTTACTAAAAATATGGCGATTATTTATCACGATTCGAATACTAACCAAAGGGGTTTTCAAAAGGAGATGAAGCAAGTACTAAGTACTGTAATATTAACTCGTACCAAGTATCGGAAATATTGTATGCAGTGAGGTAACCAACCATATTTTGTAAACTACGCAATAGTCATATTAATATTTTATACTCATTTTTACCCATTTAATAAATTAACATTTTAATATTTTGATGGCACTACCACTATCAACTAAGTGGGATGAATAATTGTCGTAAACCTTGAAAGTAACCGTCGATTGCGATGGGTTTCACCGATTTTTGATAAATAAAACTAACTATACTTAGTCACCAACATGAACTAGACACGAAAAACACCCTTCCAAATTTACAATGGTACAAGTATAGTTAGTTAGTGTGGTGGTGCCATCAAAATACTAAAATGTTAACTATTAAATGGGTAAAAAATGAAGATAAAATATTAATATGACTATTGCGTACTTTACAAAATATGGTAGATTACCTTACTGCATACAATATTTTCGGTGCTTGGTACGAATTAATATTACTTAAATAAATAACAGGCTCCATCTCCTTTTGAAAACGCATTTGGTTAATATTCTAATCGTGACAAATAATCGCCATCTTTTTAGTAAACACAACCAAAATTGGTATATTCAAATTTGTTTATTGTAAATTTAAAACTCCCATGCTATTCTTATGAATTAGTTAACTGTTGCAGTTTGCTTGTTTATAGATATATTTTGATCAAACTTGGAAAATTAGTTATTTTATACTAAGGTATTGATATTTTACTTAAAATAAAACACACTATAATAACCTACCTGTAGCAGCAAACCTAGGTACCTGTTGAACCTAATTTTATTTATATACTTTTTTAATAACACATCCAATCAAATGGAAAATTGCTGAGTCTGCAGGTTTGCTGTGGCAGAGTTGTTTTACTCATAATATAAGCTTAAATTTTAAGATTTTATAGTATCACACTATTTAACTAAATGGGATAAATTATCATAATCCTTGAAAGTGACTGTCAATTTCCATGTGTTTCACCTATTTTTGATAAATAGAAAAAACTAAATATACTTAATAACAAATAACTCAAAAACCGTTGGGTTTAGAGAAAGATGGTAAATACAAAAAATGTGTATTTTTAGATGACCTACATTTTGTATATTTAGCTTTTTCCTGTATCTCTAATAATAAAGTCACTATAGCGAAAAATACAGAAATATGCCGCCATTTTCCAATATGGCGGCCGTAGCACAGCTTCAATTTTAGGGAACTTTTAGTATGTTCAAAAGGAAGGTACACCCAACATCTGTACCAAATTCCCCGGTTGTGCTAATTTTTTTTGGGTCAAAACATATTTTTATTGTACTAAACTAGCTGTACCCGCGGGCTTTGCCCCGTTTAACTTCTTAATTTTCAAGATGATCTCGTTCGCATGGCTCAATCACGTCCTGGTTGAAGTTCGTTCGCTACGCTCACTCACCTTTAGGTTGGAGCTCGTTCTCTGCGCTCTCTTGCCTTCAGGTTAGCTCGTTCGCTACGCTAACTCGTCTCCAGGTTGAAGTTCGTTCGCTACGCTCACTCACCTTTTGGTTGCAAATTAACTGTTGTCATAAATTAAAATAAATAATAGTGCTGCACCCTGTTGGTAATCATTGTAACTTTAATGCAATTGAACATCATAGAACAGAACCAATAAACAGTTGTTAAGATTCATTAACTCCTTTTAAATATGAAAAATCATAAGGCTAACATGGGAAACTCCAGAGCCACTGGGGCGGAGCCCGAGAGTCCGATCAGAATAAAAACAACTTAGTTTTCCTATTTAATGCCTAAAGAATCAATGTACCATATTTCAGCCTCCTAGGTAAATGGGAAGTGGGAGAATTAGTGATGAGTGAGTGAGTGAGTGAGTCAGTGAGGGCTTTGCCTTTTATAAGTATAGATGTCATTATGCAAGACTTTGTTTATGTTTTCATAACCTCAATTGTTTGCTTACACTTTAAATTAAAGTGACAGAAGAATGTTTATTAATACGGATTGAACATTTAATTACAGTTTGTGTTTGAAATAACATGTTTTATTGAATTTCAAATTTATTATCTGGAAATAATTGCAGGTAGATATTTTCTGGGACTTAAACTTTTTATAGGCCTATACTATGGCTGAATATTTCTCTTTGATTTCAAGTTGACTAATATTAATATTTAATACAATGAATCCTGGCTGTCTTTAAATAAGTTTTGCTCATTATAAACTTATTTTAATCTGCATTTATTTTTATTTTGGAATTTTATTGAATTTAAGACTTATTCAAAATGAGGTTCTCAACTTTTGTGAAGCAATCTGAGCTTGTGCTAGCCAGGCTTAAGTCAATTGAAGCAAAAGTGCTTGCTATCGAAAAGGAACCTATCACTCCTCAACTTATAACAAAGCTCACTCTTTTGGATTCCACCGCTACAGCCAAAAATAATGATTTTGACAAATTAGTGAATAAGTTGTTCGGCACTGTGCCTTTACCTGAGGAATTAGATGAAAGTGAAAATATCACTACAATTTCAACATTACAAGATGAAATAAGTGATCTCTATGTGTCTATTCACTCTTTGTGTGTGAACTTGATACCTTCCCCAAGCTCTAACCAGTCGAGCCAGCCAAACCTGGATGATTCCAATGCAGCTATCAGCCAAGTAGCTACAACTAAGGTTAGTGTACAGCTTCCTAAACTTCAACTTGGTACCTTCTCAGGTCAACATGAAAAGTGGATGGCGTTCAAAAATTTGTTTGAAAATACTATTCATAAAAATGATAGTATTTCTGGTGTTGAAAAAATGAGTTATTTGTTAAGCTGTCTTGAGGGAGAGGCACTTTCAGTTGTTAAAAACATCCCTATGACTAATGCTAATTATTTTATTGCATGGGAATCTCTACTTAAAAGGTATCAGAATACAAGATTACTAATCTCTCTTCATGTCAACAATGTGTTAGACTTACCAGTTCTTCACAATCCCTCAGTGAAGCAACTTGGAAGGTTTTTGTCTGTTTTAAATGAAAACATTGAAGCACTTAAAGCTCTAGATGAAGAAATTTCTCAGGAAAATTTAATTTTGACCTCTCACTTGTTAAGAAAATTTGATTCTGATTTTCGCCATCATTTTGAACAGAGTCGAAGTGATAACTCTGTAACTCCTAAGTTAGATGAGTTAACCAAGTACATTGAGTCTCACTGTGTAAATCTTGAAGCAGCTAATCTTACTAATGTGGGATCATCTCTTAAGGGTACCTTAGGCCACCACACTCAAGTAAAACCCCCTCAGCGCTCAAATAAATCGGCGCTTATTGCAACTCCTCGCACTGTTTGTACATTTTGCGCAGGTGCAGATCACAAAATCTATCAATGCAAAGGTTTTCTTAAATTGACTTCACAAGAAATGTATAATTTTGTTAAAGGCAAAAATTTGTGCACCAACTGTCTTGGCGATAAGCATAAGGTAAAGGAATGCAATTCATGGCGTACATGTTCTACGTGTAAAAGAAAACATCACTCTCTTTTGCATTTTATGGATTCTGAAAATAATCCCTCTCCTAATGTGTCTAAAGGTAACACAGACAAACGAGCTCCAAGTTCTGACTCAAATAAAAATGAATCTGGTTTTGTTGGTTTGACAAATACAGAGAACACAGTTCTTCTTGCCACTGCTTTAATTGTGGTAAAATCAAGCGAAGGTAAGACCCTAGTTTGTAGGGGAGTTTTAGATTCTGCTGCTCAGTCTACCTTCATTACTCAAAGATGTGCTCAGTCTTTAGGGATTAAGCGCTCTCATGCTAATAAAACGCTTATTAATGGCATCTCGTCTGCTCAGGTGAAAACAAAAGGGTTAACTCATGTCACTCTCCAGTCCCTTAGTGGATATGTATTGGCAAGCTCTCACCTATTTTGTGTAATATCACTCCAGATTTACCTCGAGCTAAGATCACTCCTGAAGTTCGCTCACAGATGCAACATTTAATGTTAGCCGATCCTACTTTTGATAAACCCGCTCCTATTGATGTTCTAATTGGAGCTGACCTTTTTGCCTCCTCTGTGAAAGGCCAGTTTTTGTCACTTGGTGAGAATATGCCTGTAGCAATTGACACCATTTTTGGATATGCGCTCTTAGGATCGACCCCTGTCGCCTCAACTTGCAAAAATTCATTTCATGGATTAGTCACACTCTTAACCACCAATAGTTTGGATCTTCACACCTCTATCCAACAGTTTTGGGCTGTAGAGGAACCCCCTCTTACAAGCAAGCAATCCTTAGCCGAAGAAAAATGTGAAAAACATTTTGTATCTACGCACTCTCGCACTCCTGAAGGAAGATATATTGTCTCTTTGCCTTTCTCAGACGATCCGTCAACATTAGGCAACTCGAGCAAAATGGCAAAATCCCTATTCTGGTCTCTGGAGAATAAATTTCGTTCTAATCCTGATTTCAAGGAAACTTATGTTGATTTTATGAGAGATTACTTGTCTTCGGGACATATGACACTCTGTCAGTCACCACGTCTTAAAAATAATCCTCATTACTACCTTCCACATCATGGAATTTTTAAAGATGGAAAATTAAGGGTAGTATTCAACGCATCAGCACCTACATCAACATCTCTGTCTCTCAACAGTATTCTTCATCAAGGACCAAAACTCCACAACAACATATGTGACATCATTCTCAACTTTCGCCGACATGCGGTTGTTTTTTCATGCGACATCAAGCAGATGTTTCGACAAGTCCTTGTAAAGGAATCTGATCAGATATTTCAACTTATTTTCTGGAGAGAGAATGATAAAATGCCTCTTCAAATCTATCAGCTAGCGACTGTCACTTATGGGCTCACATCATCGCCCTACTTGGCAAATCGTGTCATTCAACAACTCATTATTGATGAAGGAAAAAATCATCCTCTAGCCGCAACTGCTCTAAAGGATCAGATTTATGTCGATGACGCCCTATTGGGTAGTAATTGCGTAGAAAACGCTCTTTTGTTGAAAAATGATGTGGTTCAGTTACTCAAAAAAGGAGGTTTCGAGTTAAGAAAATGGTCTTCGAATAATCCATTACTCTTACAGTCGATCCCTGAAGATCACAAAGAAAAACCTATTGGTTTTCGAGCTCCCGAACAACCAGTTCATAGTGTTTTAGGACTTAAATGGATTCCTAATGAAGATGTTTTTTCTTATTCTGTAGGAACTCAAAATATTAAGGAAACTCCTACAAAAAGAATTGTTTTAAGTGTGATATCACAGATCTATGACCCGTCAGGATGGTTAACTCCTGTAACCTTCTGGTCCAAATCCTTCATGCAATACTTATGGACACTTGGTCTCGATTGGGATGAACCCCTAGACGACAGCGTTATATCAGTTTGGAACAAGTTCGCCAATGAACTTCCATATATTGAAATGCTCAAGATACCTCGCTACGTGGGACTTTCTTCTGCTAAAGATATTCAGCTACATGCTTTTTCTGATGCAAGTGAAGCAGGATATTGTAGTTGTGTTTACCTGAGAGTTGTAAATTCACAAGGAATTATATCGACTTATCTTCTGATAGCGAAGTCAAGAGTCGCACCTCTGAAGCGTATTTCCATACCTCGCTTGGAGCTCTGCGGAGCACACCTGATGTCTAAGCTCCTAAATTACTGTATACAACTTCTCTCACCTCACTGCAAGATTAGTTCATACACAGCTTGGTGCGATTCCACAATCGTGCTTTCATGGATTGGCATGCCCTCTTATCGACTCAAGGTTTATGTGTCAAATCGAGTTGCAGAAATACAGGAAAATATCCCACCTTCATTTTGGCAACATATTTCATCACTAGAAAATCCAGCGGATGTTGGGTCAAGGGGTACCGCCCCACAAGATTTGATTAACCACACACTTTGGTGGAATGGACCTGTCTGGTTGTGTAACTCTGAAGAAAATTGGCCAAAGTCTGTCTGTAAATCTTTACCTGAAGAGTCTATCCCTGAAACTAAGATTCTCACAGTTAACACTCTCTCTGCTGTTCCGGATGAACCATTTTCTCTCCTCACTCGCTTCTCATCTTGGACAACACTACTTCATGTTTCCGCATACCTGCTGCGCTTCATTCATAACACCAGAAATAAAGTTAAACAAATTGGGAATTTAACTTCTCAGGAGATAAAAGAGGCTCATAACCTGATTTGTAAATTGGTTCAACGAGAATATTTTTCTGAAGAAATCTCATGTTTGAAATCCAATAAACCTTGCTCTGTACGCATTAGACGCCTAGCTCCTTATCTGGATAAAGATGGCCTCATTCGAGTAGGGGGAAGAATAAACAAGGCTGATATCTCTGAAGATCACAAACACCCCGTCTTGCTACCTAAAGGTCATAGGTTAGTTGATATTTTGATTGACCACCATCATGTCTTATATTTGCACTCTGGTCCAACTCTAACTCAGGCTATGCTGGCAAACAAGTACTGGATTCTCAGTGCTAGAAGCTTAATAAGATCTAGGATCTTTAAATGCATAAAATGTTTCAGATGTAAACCTCCTCATTCTTCTCCACTCATGGGGGAATTACCTATGAATCGAGTTACACCTTCAAGGCCATTTTCCATATCTGGTGTAGATTATGCAGGACACTTCTTTGTGAAGCAACATCTACTAAGACGAGTTCAACCTATCAAGGTTTATATTTGTATATTTATTTGCTTCTCTACTAAGGCGGTACACATAGAAGTAGTAACCGACCTAACAGCGGATGCCTATTTAGCCGCTCTTACCAGATTTGTCTCCAGACGAGGAATCGTTTCAGATATTCACTGTGACAATGCTACAAATTTCACAGGTGCATCCGAAAAACTCAGACGCAACTTTGAAAATTTAATCAAGGATTCCACAGTACAATGCTACGCTGAGAATTTCAATATTAAATTTCACTTCTTACCTCCACATGCACCTCATCAGGGAGGCCTTTGGGAGAGGGCCGTCAAAAGTGTCAAATTTCACCTAATAAGAGTCATTGGACAACAGACCCTGTCACTGGAAGAGTTTTCGACTTTAATCACCCGTATTGAAGGAATGATGAACTCTAGGCCTATAACTCCTCTTTCTTCTGATCCCTCGGACCTAGAAGCTTTGACGCCAGGTCATTTTTTAGTAGGTGGTCCTCTTATGACACCTCTTGAACCTGACTTGCGTAGCATTCCTATCAACCGATTAAAACGCTGGCAGGTAGTCCAGTCAACATATCTGGGCTCGCTGGCAGAAAGAGTATCTGTACACTCTTCAAGAGAGAAATAAATGGGTCAACCCCAAGAAGAATATTGAAGTCAATGACTTGGTTGTCATTCATGAAGACAACTTGCCTCCACTCTCCTGGAAGCTTGGACGAGTTCTCTCCGTTTCACCTGGTACTGATGGAATAGTACGGGTCGTGCACCTGAAGACCGCAAGTGGACACCTCTCTCGTCCTGTGACAAAGGTGTCTGTCCTTCCTATGGAATAGTGAAGAGGAGTTACCACCCCCCTTTTTTATTGATTTTCTCATTTTTTGTGTTGTTTTCAGAACCCAGGGGTTCAGGGGGGGCCGGTATGTTAAATATTTAGTAATTCAACTAAGGACATTTAATAAAATATTTATTTAATAACATATGAACTATATACAGTCAAATATAAACAATTAATCAAGTAGTATTAACATTCAAGTCAAGTTTTTAGTTCAGTTATTGAAAGGATACAACAGCTGATATGATGACATCACTGTCCAAAGTTCACTACAGCACTTCGTACTAGTCAGTTCAGTTTAGACTCACCTCTCTCACAGTACACAGTGCTTACCTTTTGGTTTAGTTCATATTAAATATTTTAATCTCTCTTTCTCTCTTACCGCTCCAAGTGCATTATTTCATCATTTCTCATTTAAATATGGATTCCAAATTTATAGTACCAAGTGTCAAGCTAGGATCCAAGAAGATATTTTTATTTAAAGTAGATGTGTTGTAAATTTTCGTGTACAGTCCAGAATATTCATGAGTAGTGAATTGCTTTCTTTTTATTAATGAAGAAGAGTTTTAATTTAAATCAGTGAAGAATTACATACTACACAACAATAGTCATTTCTCAACATCATCTTTCATCTGTGGTCCTTCGATTCTCGTCACTCTGGCCAGAGCCATCGCTTCTCTGCTCATCTTGTTCCTGTTCTACCAAAACCCTAATGGATCTTCAGTTTTAGGATCTAAAGGTATTTCTCACAATTTTACCTCTTAATACCATAAATAACAGGAGGAGTTGCGTTAACAAAAAACAGCTTCACGTATTATATATATAGATTTATCCCCAGACTGGGACGATGGCGTCGTCCTGTAATCCTACTAGGAGGTTACAAATTGTGGATATTTATAGGCATGCACTGTGGATGTGATTAGGCTCCCTGGTGTGAATTAACGTCCGCACTAGTGAGTACTACGACTATCCGCGGTACAATTTGTTAAATACCAGGGAAAAATTTGGTTCGGATTCTACTATAAACTGTAGGTCCCTTAAATGCCATTGGCTGTATGGGCATTTATAAACAGCTTTGTCTAAGGAACATGTTGGCCTTAGTCGCTAACAAGACTACAAAATCTCGCCACTCATCCTATACTCATCCTTTACTCATATTTGGGTTTAAATATGATAATTGATATTTATTATTCCTGTTTAACTCCATTCTCCTGCCTACATTTCTTTCAGCGCCATTCTAAAACATCGTGTAAAAAAAGAAACAGCTTACTTACAAATGTTCTATTTCTCTTACAACTGTCAAAAATCTGGAAAGTACAAGCTATTATTGACCTATTACAAAATCACGTGAGCAAGTTAGTTAATCTATGTTATCTATATAATAAGAGAATAAGTTCAATAAAAATAGTTGAAGAAATTTTAACTTTTGATTACTACATTTAATTTCTATCAGCTATTCAAGCTAAGCAATAAAAATATTTTAGTTTTACATTTGACTTTAAAAAATTATTTATATAACTTTAACTTTTTGAGACTATAATAGGCTACTACCAACTTTTGTTATTCATCAAATCTTATTAACGTAATCGTATTATTGTGCATTACACATAGTTTCGAAATACAAATTTCAGTAGCCATGAATTTAATTTAATTGTGTCAACAATCTCTTGACTGAAACATTTGTCTTATTTCACAGCCCGAAAGGTTTTGTTCCAGCAAAGTATTTTATCATACAATGTGTTCAAAATTTTCATATTCTTTTAATAATTTATGTTTAAGTGAGCTGTAACATACTTTTTGAGATATTAGTAAACTTGTGAGTAACAACATAACAATTAACATAAATCTAAAATACAATGACATCAAACTTATTTAACACTGTCAATAACTAAATACTTAATAAAATTCAAAGAAACAAAACATATAACAATTGTGTTAACAGAACAGTAAAATTTTAATTTTTAAAGTAGTCAACTTCTTAAAATAACAGATTCAATTAGTATATTGGTCAAACAAACAAGCCTTGGAAAATATGGTTAACAATAAGTTAAAATAATGGCTGAAATTGAACCATTGTATAGTGTGTATCACCATCTACAATATCATTATGATACTGATTTCATACGCGTTCGTTAGTTCAAATAAAACTTTTTTGTTCTGCTATTCATTTTGGAAATATATTATTCATACCTTTTATCCCTACACAAATCTATTACTGTATAAAAATTACGATTTATTAAGTCCACATCAAGCGGCACTAGAGGTGTGAAAACTGAGCTTTTACCAAGCCAATCTTAAAAAAAAAATAGATTTATCATATTGCAAAATAATAAGTTAGTTTGTCACAAATCTTTTAAAATGCTATGTTAAAATCTATTAGACAAACTGTATTTTGTATTCATAAACTTGGTATAATGTACACTAGTAAACACGTTGCTCGAAATCGAGCAATTGCAAAGAAGTAAAGTAGTTATTTAAAAACAAATAAAAGTCATCATAATTTCTGATGAGTTTAAAAGACTTTGAAATGAAAAATAACAGCAATTAAAATATACAGCTGATCAAAATGTAAACAATCATGTTCTTCATAAGGATAACATGGGAACTTTAACAGCCACTGGGGCAGAGCCCAAGGGACTTTTTCAAAAATGTAAGGTCAGTTTGCAAATCTACGCGACACGCTGTTTCCAATGAGACGTCAATGGATAAAATCGGTTAAGAAATGGCGGAGGAGTTCAACCGACAAAGTTTCATGTAGCGTATTAATTATATAGATTTGATTTCTCAATATCATCTTCTGCAATTGCAAAAAAAAAAAAAAAAAACTCTGGACAGACAGTTGTGTAGAGATCATCATCGTCTCTCTGGATCACAGTCAGTCTCGTCGTCATAATTGAGGTGAACGTGAGAAATGTTTGACTTCGATCTTTGCAGACACGTAATTACGATGATAAAAGCTTGGTTCTAGCTCGATTTTTTGACTTGGTGCCCAATCTCTCGAGATTGTAGGCTAGGCTAGGCTTGAAAGTCAAGCTGCTTGCACACCTCTATGTTGGACTTAGTTATCCAATGACTACTGATACACACTCTGAAGTAACGGTTTTCTCCGCAGTTCGACAGGTTTGAAGGAATGTTGATAAACCGAGGCCAGTCTCCAGTGTTCGGGGTAATCTTGGCCCGTCGTCCCGGGCCACAGAGAAAACGGAGGTGCCAGAGTCCCTATGGAGTAACTCTTCTTGGCATAGGGAAGTTTCATCTTCGGAACATGAACAGGTTTGGAGGATTGCGCTCTGGAAGAAGTGCTGCTTAAATCTTGACTGTTATTCATGCTACTGTTCCCACTACCGTTGTTCGGTTTGCCTGCTTTGAAAGCCATTTTGTACTCAGATTTTGACCTTTTCTCGTCTTTGACTGATTCGGAGGGAGAAGTTTTAGCATCACATGCCATACAGGGTCGGTTGTTCAGCAGTCTATTTTTACTTTTACCGTCACCGTTGGTTTGTACTCCGATGTTGGCTAGGTTGGGTGAACTTTGATAGTGTTTCTGCTTAGACATCTTGTGCGAATCGATATCTGATGATTTCAAAGATTGTTGACCGCTCAAACTTTTTCTTCTCATGTGATCGGACCCGGATGATGTTTTCCTTGTGCCGAGTACGATATTCGGATTATTGTTTTCTTTTGTGTTGTTGTTGATTATATCCATTACTGCTGACGGATTTGACCGCTCTTGTAGTCTCTTTAGTTTGTCTTGTAGTTGCTTCGCTTTTACCTCATCACCCCAAGCTGTCTTTGGTCGAGATCTCGCCCTGTCTGCGCTTTCTCTAGATATCGACTTTAAACTGTCGACTGAATGTCTCTTCTCCATTTTACCGTCTCCTGTCGAAGGTCTTGGGGTTCTCATATCTTCGTGAGGTGTCGGAGGTTGATGAACCAGAGCAAACACAGCTGGTGCAGCACTTCCGTTGCTTCCATCAATGTGTGGCGAGCGCTTCGGTTCATCAGAAGGGTGGACAGGTTTAAAGTCCCAACACAAAGCTAGCTCTATTTCTGACATGTGCTCTTTCCGCTTCGGCTGAGATGTTTTTGGACGGACCTGCTCATCGCGAGACTCCCTCCGGTGTATGTTGCCAGCAGTTTTTGGTCTGTACACTTTAAGTTTGCTACACTGTGTTGGAGCTGGTGCCCCGTAACCTTTGACCCCCACAGCTGCGGCTCGAGGCTGGACATTTAGGCCCATGCCAGGGTGCTTTGTTTGCTTCAGCTGCAGTGACCTAATAACCATGAAAACAAAAGTAGTAGTATTTAACAAAACTGTGAGTACAAACTGAAATCATAATTTGTTTACTACAGTCATTTAGTTCTTAAGAAGAAAGTTATTGATTGAAAAACTTAGATTCGTTCTTAGTGTGAATAACATCAACATTTTGTTTTGTTAACTCTGTTGCGATCTTCATCCCAACAAATAATTGTTAGTTATATAGACAATTATTTGTTCTTACTTCTTATCTTTTAGCCTACTTTTAATGTTTATGTATTAATTGCCCGCTAAAATAAGTTTTTTGTCACAGAGCAAATTTACCTTCCCAATCTATGGATTGTTGACAAGGCTTACTGGAATGGGAAAGAGTTCATCCTGCTCCAGGAAACACAGTTTATGCTCGATAATAATGTTTCAACACTAATATAGTGCAATTTTCATGTTTCTCGAGAATTTAAACTAAAGGAATTTCTACTTGAGGCCATGTCCTCAGGTCCTTTGGAAGCAAGACCATTTTACCTAGAGCCAATTTTTTTGTGTCTCGCTTAAATGTAAATAAAGTTTATGACTCTTAAAAATTAAAATTATTGTGTATAAACATAAACTAAAATTCATATTTATTGTGCCAGGAAAATCTCTTTCACTCAGAAGAGTCTGCTATTCCAACAAAAATCCTCAAAACAAAAACAATGCTCTGCTTTTACCATATTTTACTTAATTTACCTTCCCAATCTGTTAGAGGTAACGTATTAAATATGGGGGAGCGAGTTGGACTAGGGATAGAGTGCTATACTTCAATGTCCAAGGTCTGAGGTTCAATCCCCACCAATGGATTTTATCTATGCCATAATGCCACGACCCTCTTGGCATAGCTTAACGTAATGTGTAAAACGGTTCTGGAGTAGTGCCTGAGGGTTCACCTGTACAAGCTGTCCTCAATAGTATCAGGCAGTGGCTGATGTTTTTGGTTCTCTAGTTTCAAGTTCTTGGCGTGCTCAGCGCTGCAGTAGACACTGGCTAGAGGAGGACCTCTACAATCCAGCTCGTCTACTTCCACTCCAGAGTCATGAGGGGACGAATCCCTGCAATCATTATACCCAGTAGAATCATCACTATAAATACATGTGTCCATAAAACATTAGTACAGTTTCATTCATTAGCCAAATTGTTACTTATAATGTGCTACCTGTGTTGGTTGTATAAGCCAAACACTAAAATTTAGTTTTACCCTGTGTTTGCCACTTTTGTAGCTTCTAGTTCTGAACAGGTTTAAAACAGGAAAACACTTTAAAAAAAATATTTACTTCAAATTTTTAGGTGAATTAGCTGTTGTGTAAATTATGCGAGGGAATGAGAAAGATGAGACAATGGCTCCCTAGCCCAAGACTATAGGAGACACACCAACACCACTATACGGTAATGGTATTAAAATTAATCCAATAGCAATACTTGTGTACACAGAATGGCGATGTTTAATTTACCTATGGACTACGTCTTAACTCACATGTTAGTGGCAATTGGTCCAGTGTCTTTCTATTTCAAGCAAGTGCAGTTTGCGATTTAGAACACATCATTGATATGACTCACCTCCTCGAGCCGTTATGATCATGATGTTGGTCCTTGTTTACCGGCGAGTGAACATTCTTTGTGTACTCATTAATATCATCCTGTACATTCTGAGACGTGTTGATGACCTTAAAAATAAATTAAAATGTACATGTGTTCAATCGAGAAGAAATCAGCACTCCTACATACTCTATTGTACTATCAAAAGTAACATTACTACTACACTACTTACTAACTTTTTCTAGTTTAACTATTATTAACATTAAAATGTAAATTCTTATAAAATAAGTTCCAATGGACCACACAAAGTAACGATAGGCAATAAATATTTTTAAATGCTCAACCCAAAGTGTTATACAAATTTCTCCCATCCTCAACACTTCCTGAGTCCTGCTCTGATATAGTTTAGTTACCTTTTCCATAGGTGAACTCCTCAGAAATGGCACATCAGACCTGACCTGAGACAGGATTCTAACACTTGCTCTGCAGGGTTGTCTCCTCCCAAGGAGATCGCTTAACCATTGAACACCTAATGGTTTACTGCTCCAACAATAAACCCAACACCTAATAGTTCTGGACAAGCTAATTTAAACGATTGACCATTTTGTTTATTGATTTGGATGATAGACAAAGACATCTCATGAAAACAAAAACATATGATAAGATTACAATCAAAGAAGTTCATCATCGAAGACTGGCCATCTTGACCAAAAGTGATACATTTTGCACTCCTCTGTGTTGTCAATCATGAACATTGTAACAATAATCATGCAGATTCTGAAATCATTCACCTCTGGAGACCTTTCGCGAGCCAGAGAGCGCGAGTAGTCAAGTTCATGATGCTTGTCGTAAGGTTGTCGATCATTGACGGGTAGAGGACTCAGGCGTCGTAAACTGTCTTGTGGCCTTAACTGATGCTCCGATTGATCCTTATTTGACGACTTCTGAGCAGCATTAAACAATTGTTAAATGAGATGTAGTTTTACTTATCATCTAGTTGTAATAATTTTCTAAGATAGAAAGTCAAGGTTTTTTCCTGAGGTAAAAATCTAAGATCACAATGTACTCGTAAATGATAAAAAACTATAAAAAAACTTTACAAATCTATTATTGTTATTTATGTTGTAATGATTTTATTTAATTATTACAATACTGTATTGTTACATTTTCTGCTCTTTTAAAGCTGTTTTTGTTTTCGGTTTACAAAAAATTTCATAGATAAAATTGTATCAAAAATAGATTTACATTTTTCCCGATTTATACTCCCAAATAACAAGGAGGATACAAGTCTTTTGTCACTTTCATTTCTGTTGATGACGGAGCGCTCTGAAATAAAAAGCCACAGTTAAAATAAATGTAAACTACTAACAGTAGTACAAAATTAAAATAATTTTAAGATATGGAAAATTAAAGAAGTTTCCAAAATATTTCTGTTTAATTTCACTAAATTATTGCACTAGGAATAACACACTGTGTAGTGCAGTTAAAAGTATAGATGACTTAATTATGGAGGCTAGAATGGATGGATAAAGCTGGCTCACGAGATCAGCTGATTCCTAGAGAAGACTATCATTAACACATTCACTACCAGGACCAGGTGTCACACAGGTGATATTGGGAGCGAGCTGGTCTAGATATCAACAGCCTACTACCAAGTAACATAGTTTAATTAATAGTACCGGTACTTCATTTTAAAAGGGTTAAAATTTTCAACAGCCATGTTGGATCCGCCATTTTGGATATGAAAAAAATGAACATGAAGGTAGGGTTGTGACCCATGATTTTAGACCCTGTTAGTGTCAATGATGTGTAACCCACCTTTGGTCTGCTTGGTGGTAGTTTGGAAGACTCTATAATAGGTACATGAGCCGAGCGTTTCTCCCAGGATGAAAGTGCTCCACTTGGTCTTGTAAGTTCCGAGGCTGAAAAACAAGTAAATAATTCAAATACTAACATGTTATTGTTGCAATGACATTGTGATTTTAGTTTAACATTGCCCCTCACCTTTTATAACATTTTGTTTGCTATTTTTAAGGTGAAAATTCATACCATGTGGCAGATATAAGGAATCAGAGGCATAAGCAGTTCCACTAAGTCTGTCTTGACATTTTAATTTGATACCATTTCAATTGTGCAAGCCTAACTCCTTACGCTCCTATTGTTAAACAATAAGACTGGCTACATGAGTAAAGGTTGGTTTTATGAAACAGATCAGAACAAGCCACTCCCCTCGAGTGGATTCAAGATTTGACCTAGTTTCAAAGGATTTATGTAAGTAGTCCAAGCAAACTAAAAAAACTTACACAAGGATCGTTAAAATAATTGCAAGAAAACGTTTTATTGTGTTATTTTGTAGTGTTGGGTTTGCAGAATGACATACTAATTTTGCCAAAAATCGGTGCACGAGAAAACCACTAAAATCACAATTTAAAATGGCGACTTTCTCCAACATTGGACAAATAAAAAAATATGTTTCACATACATTTGTTATGCACATTTTTCGAGATATTGACTTGGGACCATCAACTGTATTTATTTGGTGGTTAGTACTTCATTTTAATAGGGATCACGGTTTTGGCCGCCATCTTGGATCCACCATATTGGACATAGATAATTTTTTTCAATGTAATGATAGTGTTGTGACACATCATTACAAACTACATTTTAACACTAATTTCAATGCCGAAATTCGTTTTTCAATATTTTTTCATTTAGAAGATATATTCAAACGAAATCTCTCCACCATACATTTCAAGGACGTTTTGTAGTTTGATAATTTTTTTAAGATTAATTTTCTTTGAATGAGTCATGGGCCTTAATTTAACACTAAAATGTATTTATTTCAAAATTTGTCTTTGGTTTAAGACATATATCCCTAAGTATAAATAACTACCAATAAGTAATCTTTAGCTAAAATTAAAGTCGATATGTTGGCGAATTATTTTAAGACTATAAGAGTTTTGGGAGTTATTTAGAATTGGGGATATACGTCTTTAACTAAAGACAAATTTCGAAATAAATACATTTTAATGTTAAATTAAGGTCCATGACTCATTTTAAAATTGTCAGATTTTGGTTAATGCTTAATAAAATCAAAGCCAAACATTTACTGAGTAATTTGAGACCAGAAAGAACTTGGTGACGTATTAACAACCTGAGTTATACATCTTTTAATAAAAATGTATTTCTAAAAAGTTAAATTTAATATTGTTCTGAGGTTCGTAGCTGGTCTTTAACTAGTCTGATTTTAATCTTCAAGAGCTCAAATGAAAGCCCTTACATTGCTGAATATTTTAAGCCTAGAACGAACTACAAGCGTTAATAAGAACTGGAGATATAAGATATATATATTTTTTTAAATTATCAAACTACAAAACGTCCATAAGAAATGTATGGGGGAGATTTTTCGTCTTCTAAATGAAAAAAGATTTTGAAAATGGATTTCGGCATTGAAATCAGTGTTAAAATTTGGTTTGTAATGATGTGTCACAACACTATCATTACATTGACAAAATTATCTATGTCCAATATGGCGGATCCAAGATGGCGACCAAAATCGAGATCCCTATTAAAATGAAGTACTAACCACCCAATAAATACAGGTGGCGGTCCCAAGTCAATATCCCGAAAAATGTGCATAACAAATGCATGTGAAATGTGTTTTTTTTATTTGTCCAATGTTGGGAAAAGCCGCCATTTTAAATTGTGTTTTTAGTGGTTTTCTCATGCACCGATTTTTGGCAATTTTTAGTATGTCATTCTTCAAACCCAACACTACAAAATAAAACCATAAAAAGTTTTCTTGCAATTTTTTTAAGGTCTTATCCTATATTTCTCTGACTAATGCCTCAAAGGGTCAATAAGGTTCAGTAAAATAACTATACAAAAGGGATAAAGGACACACTAATATTGGTACAGCTTGTTTTTCCTCACTATTCTTCCAAAATTTAGTAAAGCAAATCAGAGAGCCATCGTAAACAACGAAAGAAAATTATCAATGGTTTTTGTTCCATTATATTATTGTTTTTTATCCTAATGTTTTTATTATTAATTATTAAAACGTTTTTATTAGGTCGCTTTCTTGTCCGCTACAAATTTTGCAACCGATTTTATACTAACTTCCCGATGAGCTAGGGACTTGAAACTTGAAACATATCTCACAAATGGAGGACAATGCAAGATTATACAATTTAATTTTCATATTTCCATTGGGCTACGCCCCATGGGCTTGTTTTTATTAAATCGATTTCTTGCAAATTTTGATACTTCCCGATGAGCTAGAGACTTGAAATTTGAAACATAGCTCACAAATGGATGACATTGCAATATTATATCATTTAATTTTCATATTTCCTTTCGGGCTACGCCCCATGGGCTTGTTTTTATTAGCTCGCTTTCCTACAAATTTTGATATCAATTTTAAACGATGTTCCCGATAAGCTAGAGACTTGAAATTTGAAACATAGCTCACAAATGCATGACAATGCAATATTATATCATTTAATTTTAATGTTTCCCTTGGGCTACGCCCCATGGGCTGGGCTTCCAAATTGTTCATGTTTATATTTTGAAAGGATGTAAATATATCAACTAATTTAAGTCAGCTGTAAATACTTAAATTTGACAGTTCGAAGAGCAGAGGTTAAGAGGTACAGGTTATGCTCCCAAGAGATTCTTTATACAAACAAACATTTCAAAATAAAGATAAACAATCTGATTGCAGGTATCAAGGTGTTGGTAAATAATGTCAATTTTTGTTTTATTCTATAAAGTAAACAATAAATATTTCGAGTGAATGCATTGCAGAGAAATTCCATTACAAACTATAGTTAAATTATTATATATTGTGAGTTTTCGGATTAACAAACTATAAACATGTAATAATATCAATTATTTGTGAATATTGCATGATAACTCATATTATGGCCAAGGAGACAGTCACCCAACGCAAGCGACGCCTAGAGAAGGAAAAGAAAAAAAGACTAGTTCAGCTTCAACAGGAATCGGAGGTTTGTAAATCGGCAAGACTACTATGTCAGCGTCAGGCCTATGCTCAATCCACGGCTTATTGGAAGGAGACAGCCTCCCAACGCAAGCTACGGCTAGAGAAGGAGAAGAAAAAAAGACAAGTTAAGCTTCAACATGAATCGAAGACTTGTAAATCGGCAAGATTAGCCAAATGGCGTACGCCAACTACGCAGGTTTGTAAATCGGCAAGACTACTACGTCAGCGTCAGGCCTATGCTCAACTGGAAGTTGATTTCCATCTAACCAAAAACACTTTTTGTGACAAGTGTTGTGATATCTGGAAGAAAAAGTGCTACCCTAATCAGGTTATGAAACAATGTTCTATTTCACCGGAGACATACTTGCCACCGGAACTTTCTGCTAAAAAAGTGTTGCTTGCCTGCCATCGATGCAATACGCACTTGAGGAGCTCAATGCCATCCACGGCTTATTGGAAGGAGAAAGCCACCCAACGCAAGCGACGGCTAGAGAAGGAGAAGAAAAAAAGAGAAGTTAAGCTTCAACATGAATCGAAGACTTGTAAATCTGCAAGATTAGCAAAATGGCGTAAGCGAACTGCACAAGTACCTACCCAAACATGCTAATGTCGGACGCGAGAATGCCAATGAACTATTGGTCCAAGCGAGATCGGTTGAGAATACCGAAGCGCATATTACTCGACTAGAATCGGATCGTTTGAGACATTCTGAATCAAGAGCTAGAGAGACAAGTCAGGAACGTGAAGCAAGACTACTACGTCAGCGTCAGGCCTACGCTCAACGGGAAGTTGATTTCCATCTAACCATAAACACTTTTTGCGACAAGTGCTGTGATATCTGCCAGAAAAAGTGCTACCCTAATCAGGTCGTAAAATATTGTTCCATTTCACCGAAGCCATACCTGCCACCGGAACTTTCCTCTAAAAATTAGTTGCTTGTCTGCCATAGATGCAATACGCACTTGAGGAGCTCAAAGAGTTATGCTCCATCCAAGGCGTATTGGAATAACTTACTTCCAGGTGATATCCCGACTGAAATTTTGGTACTAACTGAACCAGAACAACGTTTGCTTCAGCGCATCATTCCGTACCTCAAAGTGATAAAATTTCCCGGCAGGTTTGGTCAATATGGTTTTCAAAGGGCATGCAACTTTATTTGCTCTTGATATCTTTGAAGTCAGTGAAAAGCTGCCTGAAATGCTTCCTCGGTCGAGCACAGATACAGGAATTGTTTTAGTGAGTGAAACTCTGGAGAACCTTAATGTATCCAGAGATTATACCAAGTCAGGATGGCTGACTTGAACGGTACCTGTGTTTTACGCTCCTGAGTTTGTCTCCCGTATCTGTGTTTTCCATCACTTGCTTGGGGTCAAAGTGTTGTAGGCCTGGCTGGACTTATTTTGTGAGTTGTATGTGATGTTCTATCTCACCCTCTCGCCTAATCTCAATATCAAAATCCAGGTGTCTTTCCCATCCCCAAACTAATAAACAAGACATAACAGGTTGATCTTACCAAACATATTCCAACTTCCAACTGTCGTCTGTCAGTGTCAAGTCAATAACAACATCTGTCCTTCACGTCATTCATAGAAGAAGAAGAAGGAGCCTGCGACACTTTTTTTCCCACAGCCTTTTAGATCTTTCTTCGCTACTTCTTATCTGTACTATATTCAATATACCTACTGAAGTATTCTTTCCCCATCTCCTTCGATTATATTATTTGAGGTGAATCGAGTAGCCTCTAACTGGTTAATACTTCAGACTATGATTATATAGTAAAATCATGGATAAAACTATTTGCATTCCTTGTTATAAGCAAGTTGTGAGCTCTGATGATGGACTTCAATGTGATGGGCCTTGTGATCGATGGTTTCACCGAAATTGCGTAGGAGTTACCAAAAATGAGTACACTAAAATATCTAGTGACAATGCCAGCAAGTGGTATTGTACTCGCGTGGATTGTAAATCCTCGCTACCGTCACCTGATTTAAGTACTCTTCTTTCTAATCTGTCTCAAAAGATAGATGCTCTTAATGCCAAAGTTGATCGTCTTAATGATCTTCCCGAAAACGTCAAATCTATACAAGATGATGTTAAATCAATTCACGACAAATTTGAACTGCTTGAGCCCCGTATTGAGCAGCTTGAGTTGAGAGTGTCTGCTGTCGAAAAAAGAGTTGAGTCTAAAATAGCTAATGTAGATAGTTTTGAGGAGACTTTAATGGAAATCAACGATCGTAACAAGCGTCAGTTCAACGTTATTGTTCATGGTATCAAGGAGAGTACTCTTGCCACCATTGATTTGAAGAAAAAACAAGATACTCAAGAAATACAAAATCTCATCACAGAAGTGTGCCAGGGTGTCAACGTGAAAAATGTTAAAAACTTTAGAATTGGCACTAAGAACACCAAAAAACCCCGGCCAATCAAAGTTATCTTTCCTGATGTTGATGAAGCTAAACTCTTCTACCAACGCTTCTCTGAAAAGAACGCTACTGCAGATAGCCTATTGAGTGTTTCTAGAGATCGCACCCTTCGAGAGAGAAATCATCTAAAGAAATTGAGGGAGGAACTTGAGGAAAGAAAAAATGCTGGAGAAAAGGATCTAACTATAAAATACTCTAATGGTATACCCTCTATTGTTAAAACAAAGTCAAAAAACGGGGAAAGTCCAACGGTCAAACCAAACTAAGCTTATATTTTCAGAATGTCAATGGCCTACGAACTAAACTCACTGCCCTTCGTCAATCTTTAAGTAACTCAACTTATGATGTTATTATACTGGTTGAAACAAACCTTACTAATGATATAAGTAATTCTGAACTTGGTTTCCAAAACTATAGAGTATATAGATGCGACAGATCGCCTTTATCAAGTCTTAAATCAAGTGGTGGAGGTGTTATTGTTGCAATAAGGAATGATTTTGAGTCTTGGGAACTCCTACCATCTACGCAGAGCGTTGAGTCTGTCTTCACTGCCGTAAGGCTCAAAAACTCTTTGTTCGTACTGAGTGCAGTCTATTTACCACCTAATCAAAATTCATCTCAATATGTTGAATTTTCTTCAATACTTGAGGAATTGTTTGTCGCTAATCCGAACTCAAACCCAATGTTGGTTGTTGGTGACTTCAACTTACCAAATGTTAATTGGCTGGATCCTACAACTTGTCAAGTTGATACTTCTGCTCAACCTATTTGTGATGCTATGAGCTTCCTGAAGCTAAGACAGTGTAACAGCATCGTGAATGAGCGTGGTGTTCTCCTCGACTTGGTCTTTTCCTCTGAAGATTTGCGTGTGCAAAATGCAATTGATCCTCTTCTTGCTGTGGAACACCATCACCCTGCCTTGGAAATGGAACTCCCTGTTTGCCCTCTTGATGATCTTAATTATAGTGCCGTCTTTCCTAATCTCAAACAATGTGATCTTCACCATGTTTTTGACTGGGTACAGGGCATTAGTTATCCAATACTTGACAACTATACGCATGCTGAGTTATACTTTTCCGACTTCTGCTCCAAACTAAGTCATACTATAAGAAATGCTTGTCCTTCAAAGTATATAGGAAAAAGATCCTTTCCCATATGGTTTTCTTCAGAACTCAAATTGATGATTATCAAGAAAAAGGAACTACACAAGCGCTTCAAGCAGAGTCTCGATGACCGAATATATCTCCAGTTTTGCGGTGTTCGAACTATATGCAAGAGGATGACGAGGGAATGCTACTCAGCTTACATCGAGACTGTTGATTCATCTATAAAAACCAATATTCGTGCCTTCTGGAGTTATGTGAATTCTACTAAGAAACTGCCCTCCCTGCCGTCAAGAGTGAAGTTGGATGCTGAAGTTGCTGATAGTCACCAGGATATCTCCAATCTTTTTGCCAAATTTTTCGCCTCTGTTTATAAGTCCCCGTCATCTACCCCACCAGATTATGAGCTTAACGCAATCACCTCAATCTCATCATGTTATGTTAGCTGTTCGGAGGTGGAGGATGAGCTGAATTCACTTGATACAAGCAAAGGTGCAGGACCCGACGACATATCACCACTGGTCTTGAGGTTCTGTAGCAGTGTTTTATCACCTCATATCACCATATATTTCAACTCACTCATGGCTGCTGGTGTCTTTCCCTCAAATCTTAAGAATGGTTATGTAACTCCAATTTTTAAGTCCGGATCTCCTGCTGATGTCAGGAACTATCGCCCTATTGTTATCCAGTCCACGTTAGCAAAGATTTTTGAATCGCTTGTGCTGAAGAGATTGTCGTTCGCTCTGAAGAGTGTGATTAATGCAGAACAACATGGATTTATGAAGGGACGCTCAACCACTACGAACCTCTTGTCCTTCCAGAGTAATGTTACTACTGCCTTCTTAAATTCCCACCAGATTGACGCTGTTTACACGGATTTCTCCAAGGCCTTCGATCGAGTTAGCCACAAACATCTGATTGCTAAACTTAGAGCCATTGGAATAAATGGACCCCTTCTAATGTGGTTAGAGAGCTACCTCCAGGATCGGTTTCTTCAGGTGCGAGTGGCTGGCTCGTTGTCTCAACCATTTCCTGCTATTTCCGGGGTTCCTCAGGGATCGCTTCTGGGCCCGGCCTTGTTCACCATATTTATCAATGATTTGGTTCAGCATTTGGATTCAAATGTACTGCTTTTTGCTGATGATGCCAAGATCTTCAGAGAGATTTCACATGTGAGAGACTGCGAGGCTCTACAGAATAGTATTGATTTACTGTCAGTGTGGTGCCAGATGAATGAAATGTCTTTGAATGTCTCAAAGTGCTCTGTGGTAACCTTCACCAGATCTAATAATCCTATTATTCATCCGTATAAACTAGCAGATCAGCAACTTCAACGTTCTTCAAAGGTCAAAGACTTAGGCATCATACTCTCTCCTGACCTCAATCCTCAAGAGCACATTAACTACATTTGCAAGAAGGCCAACTCAGCACTTAATTTCATCACCAGGGTCAGTCATGACAGATTTTCAGTATCGGCACTGGTAACTCTTTATATCCATCTTGTCAGACCCATACTTGAGTTTTCCTCCACAGTTTGGAATCCGTACCAGTCTGGTCAGATCGCCAGGCTGGAAAACACTCAAAGCCGTTTTGTTCGCCTGGTTGGTCTACGTTTGGGGATGCAATACCGTGCTGTTCCTGTTCATGATCTGCAACTCCAGTTGAACCTGTTGCCTCTTTCTACCAGACGTGAGGTAAATGATGTCTTATTCCTGAAGAAATTGATCACATCCTCCATTGATGCTCCCGACCTGCTCTTGGAACTAGACTTCCGCACATCACGTAGCCTTCGCCATACCCAGCTGTTTGCGAGGCGGCAGTACTCAACACAGTACATGTACCACAGTGCACTTCCTCGTCTGCAACGTCTGGCAAACAACCTACCTGGTCAATTGGACTTGTTCAGCATGAACAATGAAACGTTTAAAAAAAAACTCGTTAGCAGCTTGCGTTCCTCGTAGATTTATCATTATTGTTTTGTTGTTCTTGTCCGTGTTATGCTTCATTGTTACTTTTATATTTATATTTATATTGTTATTTACTATATTTTGTTATATTTATTTCCTATTTACACTGTTGTTGCTTGTTATATCGTTATATCATCTTGTTATATCTATATCTTGTTATATCTATACCTTGTTATTTCTTATATCTTTTTATATCTTATATCTTTCTGTTATCATTGTTAATCTATTTATTGAATGTACTTCAAGTTGGCTAAAATTTCATCAAAAATGTCTATTTTTTTTTAGTCTTATATAAGTTTTGTCATATTTATGTATTGGTTTGACCGTTGGTATAAATAAATAAATAAATAAATAAATTTCACCAGATCGTGTATGCACACACATTAAAACTAAAAAGTATAAAATAATTTATAAATAAAAAACTTTTTTAAACAAAACGTTTTAAAACGCCCTAAAAAGTAGAAAATAATTTATAAATATGTTGAGAGAGTATAAATACTTGTACGATTTAAAACGAAAAACGTTGGGTGCATGCAATTAATTGATAATAATACATTAGTTCAGTAGGTGAAGGTAATTGTAAACTATCTATTGCATGCACCCACGTTTTTCGTTTTAAATCGTACAAGTATTTATACTCTCTCAACATATTTATAAATTATTTTCTACTTTTTAGGGCGTTTTAAAACGTTTTGTTTAAAAAATTTTTTTATTTATAAATTATTTATACCAATGCAAACTGTTACTGTTACCAGCTTCCCCAAAAACCTGTCCATAGATGTTGATAAAAGCAATTGTTGCACACTTTTATAAAGGAATAGAAAACACTACTTACCGAATTTCCTAGATATCTTGTTCGGCAGCTGCCAGGTGCCGCGGAAGGATCCCCAAGGGTTCTGAGGAGGTCTTTGTACACCAGGCAGTAGATGTCCGCGGTCGTTGACGATGATCTTTGTGGTGGTCTTGCGTGCGCGAGGTCTCTGAGGCAACCACGACGGTACCTCCCAGTTGCCGAGGCGAGTCGGTCGGAACTCTCGCTCTAGCTGTGGACAGATGGTAAACTTAAGTTGATTAAACAAAATCCATCCTTCGTGTTAGTTGTTAAACAGGTCTCCATCAAAAGGATGCATCCTTCGTGATGTTAGGTTTATCGTTGAAATTGTAATACATGGTGCTGACCTAAGAAACGGCTGATCTTAACAAAGCTATATACAAAGGCAAAGCATTCCACCTAGTCAACTTGGACACATATTTCTGTCTCCACCCTATCTTTCTTTACTTCGTGTAAAGCTTTTTGGATTCGTTTAACAAATGGACTAAACTGAAACCACCATTTTGATCAGATAACAAAATGATTTAATCTGCATACCGTTGGTGCGGTAGAGATAGTTTCATCATCGCCAGAATAAAAATACAATACCAAATAAGTTTCATTTTTTACATGCTTTCAATATCGTGTAGTATTATGTGCGTCTAAAAGTATTTTGTAACAGAATCAATTTATAACCGTCCTAGTATATGCCTAAAAGATAAAAGAGGCAATCAGGCAATATTAGTAGTAATTTAATTGCATATTTGAACATAACAATAGTTTCGCAAACTAAGCTAGAACAGTGAGTACTCAGTAGGCCAGGCCTATGACGAGGCAGGGATGACAGCCACGATGGCTCGACGATCACGGAACGTTTCATGACCAGGAACAGTTTCAGATACAACCTATTATTCAATTACAACCGATATCCCCGGTTTGGAACTGCCGTTGCGATTTGTGCCGTCAGTCTGTTGTGATTTGTATAACCAGTTGCGTAAACATTGACCCACAATGCCGACTGCCGATCATTCCCTCGGTCTACCAACGGAAGTTTCATGCTCAGAGTTGATACAATTAATTTAGTTTGGTCGATAAAACATCAAGACTATCACTATCACTGTGAATTATTGTTTTTTTAATGTTTGGTTCTACAATTCACTTCAAGAAAGCATGGTGGACATACTGACATGTACATCATACATATTGGATCAGTTGTTTAAGTTTGTTCAAAAAAAATACCCCCGCTGCAGCAAACCTGCAGACTAAGCGAATTTCCATTTGACTGATTGGATTTAGGCCTACACTGAAATGTCTACTTAAAAATATAACATTTATTCTTGATTTAAATAGAATTAGTTTAACAAGTACTTAGGTTTGCTGCATCAGGGAGGGTAAAACTGTTTTTTTTTGTAAAATGTGAATAGTTAGTAAGAAATAAAAACATTTTCCAAATTTGATCAAAATATGTTCACAAACAAGCAAACTACAACAGTTTACTTATTCTCCATAAGAATAACATGGGAATTTTAAATTTACAATTTTTTTGAATTTTCTCCGTAACCATTAGGCGCATAGTAACGCTTCAATATACTAAATTATTTGTTTTTTTAAGCTCTACAAAATGGTTTGGAAAGAAATTGCTAAATTTTATGTTTTTTGGGTCAAAAATGGGAAAAACCTATTTTTACCCCATAAAACCCCCCGTAAACCCCCGTTCCCATGGTCCGATCATGCTGGATCGCGAACTCGTTCGAATAAACGTACTTTTACACGTTTGTACCAAATTTCATCAAAATCGGATCATTTTTGCTCGAGTTATCGTGCTGACGGACACATATATATATATATATATAAATATATATATATAAATATATATATATAAATATATATATATATATATATATATATGAATTTGAACGGATGGTGTTTTTGGCCTCTAGGGACCTCAAATCGAAAAAAAAATCGGTCCCGCGTCCAGGTCTTACCATAAGTACTACGGTAATAGCTTATTCCCTATATGGGAAATTCGCTAAAAAGAAAACATAGTTTGCTAGCTGAGTCATATTTATTTGAGCTATTGTCAAAAATCCTCTATCCTAGTTGTTGATACTATGAAAGGTACACTCTTAACGTTAGTGGCGGCTGCTGAACTGAAACCTAAAATTTTTGAATTTGACATTACCTTGATCCTATCAAAATTATCTTTCAGTCGAAAGAATAATCAAGAAAATCCGTCAAGTTGTTGATTGAGACCACCAGGATTCCTATGTCTAAACGTTCCTATAATACACGTGGAGGAGTATTTCTGCCCTGAGATTCTGAATGACATACTTGACGGATTTTTTTGATTATTCTTTTGGCTGGAAAATGAAGTTTGAGAAATTTTATGTTGATTTCATTATTTTAATATTGGATTTTAGCTCCGCAGCTGCCCCTAACATTTTTTTCAAGTTTTTACTATGATGCAGTGTGGTCGAATAGCTGAAAATATTCAGCATGTGACACACATAGGCCTATATTCAGCATTTTGATAAAAGAATAATTTAATAACCTTATCATATATTTCTTACATGATAAAATAAGGTTCTTATTTAAATTATCCTAAGTGAAGCAGCCGACTTTAACAACACTTTTGTTATATTAGGCCTATATAGCTAAGAATCCGTTCCGTCAAGAGGTCGATTTTGCCATCTATTCAAACGAAACAGGGTTTTTTTATTTCACGATTCTGAATCAACCACTTGGCGGGTTTTCATGATTTTTGTGTTGAAAGAAAGATCATTTTGAGAACTAGGGAATGTCAAAGCCATAATTTTAGTTTAGGGTTTCAGTTTTTTAGAAATTAAGTTTTAAATTTTTAAAAAGTCTAGCATCCGACGCTAGCAATTTAAAGTATTTTCAATGCTGGTTTCACTAACAGCTGGTTTATAACTGTCATTGAAATGTTTATGTTACGAGTTGTTTGTTTACAAAAATATTGTTCGTTAGTGTTTGCCTACATTCTATTTCACTTTAAAATGTAGGTAGTTTTCCCCTACCGTGAAGGATCTCCGTTATCAGGAAATGTGTTATTTTGAACTAAACATCTCATACACTTGTGTTTACTCAAGTTTTGTCGTAAATGCAATCTGTGTAAGTATTTAGTTTATGCATTGCAAATTTCAACTCATATTTGGAAAATATTTTTTCAGCAGTTTATCGCTTAATTGTTTAAGATATAAGTGGTTTACGTGTTGATACTTCTTTTTCTATATGTTTGAATGTAAGTATGTCGGCATACTAAAATTTTGGTTAGTAATGAAAGCGTCAATCGGTGTAGTAGGTCTCTAAAAAGCTGTCAAATAAACTGCAGCAGAAACCAAAGTCGACTCATACCATACCAACTATCCCCGTAGTACTGATGATTCAGAAACTTGGGCACTGATCAAAGAACCGAAAAACCTTAATGCTGGGTTAGATAATAAAGTGCAGAGAAAATATACAGACCAGTTCAAGATAACGGCCCGGAGGTCGAAATAAAAAAGAACAGAGAGCTAAGAGAAATGTGTTAACACCCAAATATAGGGATGCTTTCCAGAAGTAGGTAAAGCTTGGATGGAAAGGCTTTGCATAAACTTTTAAAAAGTATATTCCAAGGAGTACCACACGATAGACGGGAAATGTCAAGTTATGAAATGCATATTCAGGCTGGGATCTAAATTTTGAAGAGGCAGGTGATAGAAGAGAATCCTCATAAAAGTTTCAGTGGTCACGGAGGTAAGATAAGGTACGGTAAGTACATAAGTAGTACAGTATGCAATTAGAGGTGGCATGTAGCTACTCTACTCAAAACCAGTGTGAATCGGTCGCCAATCTCACTTCAAGATTTTTCAAATCGACACAAATATCTTTTATGGTAAAATTATCGGATTTAAAATGCATATCGCCATATATTTTAGGTCTATATTCGAATGGAATAAATAGGTGGTCACGTAACATTTGTTTATAAGGTGATCTTCCCCATTAAAAGTGCTAGAATTTGTGTCTATGCGTGTAAACTAGATGTTCTGAATTAGGCCTACAGTATTCCGTTTTAGTTGACAACTCGATTCCCGTACGTAGGACGGGCCACCAGCTCGTTCCTATTATAAATAATTTTACTAAAAATAACTTTAATATATTTATAAATAAACAGTCTATGCCAATTTTATTCAATTTTTATCATTTAAAAATTGATAACAGCATGCATTAAGTATGTATACGAAGTAAATAAAACCCCTCAAAACTAAAAGCCGTGAAGCGTTAATGTAATGCACAGATTCTGAATAAATTGATTTTTTTACCAGCGAGCCCCTGATTCAATAGACCATACAGAGTCTATGATAGTGGAAGGGTGCATCTATCAAGGGGAGGCGACAGCGTGTAAAATGTAATCCCTTGTTGATTAATGCGCGCCGCCCCTAATTGTTAAGCCTTTGCCACTAAACTTGGCCTAATTAACCCGCCCACCAGCCCCTGAAATCCCCCTAAACACAAAACAGCCCCTTCCAAACATTGCCACTTGTTTCTTATAGAACGCTGAAGGGTTGAGTGTCCGAGTGCCCGTGACCTGGGTAGTTCTGTTGCTATACATTTTGAAATAATTCAAGTGAAGAACTCCACTGTAAACTATTGCTATTCGTCTAGCTTAGAAGGTAGGCTCTGCGCTCTCACAGATCTGGTATTCGGAAGGTTATCATACTGGTGAAAATACTGACCGACGTGTCAGATGTTGCAGCAATCCTTCGTAAAAAACTACAGTACAATTTAATTGGCTGTTGCCTGTGAGCAATAACTAGCAATAAACCCACCTTTAGGTGCTAAGTCCAATTCCAACCAATAATTTGAACCCATAATGGGGGTTTGGATATAAACATGTTAACATTGGCTTTCAATGCTACAATAGTAATGTAAAGTATATTTTAAAACTTTTTTAGTACAAAACAATAACGATACTAGGCTACTTGTTCAGGTTCGTATTTTATATGGATTAGGCCTATATAAGTTCCTCCTTAGTGCACGTAAGTGCTTTACTTGGGCAATTTTGATGTTTGATGTTTGATTGGTCCCCTCTGGAGGTCACTGGGTTAGACTGCAACAAAAGTTTGAAAAATCGTGCATTAATTGTGCCAAAGAGTTCTTTAATCGCGCCAAGCCCAAGCCAGGTTGGGGTTAGTTGTTTGCAGAAGGAATGTCCTGGTTCATCCTAACCTA